ACGGAGCACCCTTCTGGGTCAGCCTGGTCATAGGTGCTGCAATAGATGAAAACCCCTGAACAAATCGACGGTAATAACCTGCCAAGCCAAGAAAACTGCGATCTCTGTAGCTGAGGATGGTCTGGGCCAACTCTGCACTGCTTTCACTTTCTTCGGATCCACCTGAATCCCCTCACTCGATACCACGTGACCCAAGAATGCCACGGAATCCAACCAGAACTCACATTTCGAGAACTTAGCATATAATTTCTTCTCCCTCAAAGTCTGGAGCACTGTCCTCAGGTGCTGCTCATGATCTTCCCGACTCCGGGAATATACCAGAATGTCATCAATAAAGACAATAACGAATGAGTCAAGATATGGCCGGAATACACTGTGCATCAAATGCATGAAGGCTGCTGGGGCATTAGTCAGCCCAAATGACATAACAAGGAACTCGTAATGACCATACCGAGTCCTGAAGGCAGTCTTCGGGATATCTGGCTCCCGAATCTTCAACTGATGATAGCCTGAACGCAAGTCAATCTTAGAAAACACACAAGCACCCTGTAACTGATCAAACAGGTCATCAATACGAGGCAAAGGATAACGGTTCTTCACTGTAACCTTGTTCAACTGGCGATAATCAATACACATACGCATAGAACCATCCTTCTTCTTCACAAATAAGACAGGAGCACCCCAAGGTGATACACTGGGCCGAATGAAACCCTTATCAAGTAATTCCTGTAACTGCTCCTTCAACTCCTTCAACTCAGGAGGAGCCATACGGTACGGAGGAATAGAAATGGGCTGAGTGCCCGGCAGCAGATCAATGCCAAAATCAATATCTCTATCGGGCGACATGCCCGGAAGGTCAGCTGGAAACACATCAGAGAAATCCCGTACTACTGGGACTGAATCAACTGTAGGGGTATCAATACTGGCATCTCTCACATAAGCTAGATAAGCGTCACACCCCTTCTCAACCATACGCTGAGCCTTAAGGAATGAAATAACTCTACTGGAAGTATAATCTAAGGTACCTCTCCACTCAACACGCGGTACACCTGGCATAGCCAGCGTCATGGTCTTGGCGTGACAATCAAGAATAGCATAATGGGGCGACAACCAGTCCATGCCCAGAATAACATCAAAATCTACCATGCTGAGCAATAACAAATCGGCTCTGGTCTCAAAACCACTAAGAGCAATCAAACATGACCGGTAAACGCGGTCCACAACAAGAGAATCTCCCACAGGAGTAGAAACATAAATAGGGGAACTCAAAGAATCCCGAGATACACCCAAATGCGGAGCAAAATAAGAAGACACATAAGAATAAGTGGAGCTCGGATCGAATAGAACCGATGCATCTCTGTGACAGACCAAGATAGTACCTGTGATGACAGAATCGGAGGAGACAACCTCAGTACGGGCAGGAAGGGCATAGTATCTGGCCTGGACCCCCCCTCGAGGGAGACCTCTACCTCCCCGATCTCCACCTCTAGCTGGCTGAGCAGGTAGGGTAGCAACTGGTGCAGTGATCATAGCATGAGAACTCTGTGGGGCGCGCTGTGGCTGAGAAGTCTGTGGAGGTGTAGCCCTCATGGCGTGTGTCACCACACTCAAAAAAAGCTCTGGGAGGACGTGGCGGCTATGACTGACTCGGGCCAGGTTTGCTGGACTGACCACTGGAAGCACCCCGTGCAGGAGGCACACTAGATACTGGAGATGCATAATAAGGCTCCTGAGGTCTGGGAGGAGCTGGAATACCACTGGCTGCTGGAAGAGCTGAATGAACAGGGCGACTCATATGACCCCTACCATGACGACCTGCAGTTGGAGCACGGGCACCAGAATAATGGCCCGACTCTCGAGACCTCTTAGCCTCCCTCTCCTCTCTATCCCTAGATGGCATACCCTCAATCCTCCTAGCAATGCTCACCACCTGCTGATAAGAAATATCCATCTCCAACTCACGAGCCATGATAGACCTGATGCTGGGAATAAGCCCCTCAATAAACCGGCGAACCTTCTCGCGAACAGTAGAAACCAAGGCTGGTGCATGTCTAGCCAAGTCGGTGAAACGGACAGCATACTCTGAGACAGTCATAGTACCCAGGCATAAGTGCTCAAACTCTGCACGCCAGGTGTCCCTGAGGCTCTGGGGAACATACTCTCTCGTGAACATATCTAAAAACTGAGCCCAAGTCAGGGAAGCTGCCTCATCCGGACTGTCTAACTCATAAGCACGCCACCACTGATAGGCAGCTCCTCGAAGCTGGAAGGTACTGAAGGAAACCCCGGTCGATCCTGATATACCTATGGTACGGAGGATACGGTAGCACTCCTCTAGAAATCCAAGAGCATCCTCGGAGGCTAGTCCGCTGAATGTAGGAAGCTGATACTTCTTGAACCTCTCAAGCCTCTTTTGCTCCTCCTCTGAAGCTACTGCCCTCTCCTCGGGCTGAGCTAGTGCTACCGGTTGTACAAGAATGATCTCTGGGACCTGATCAACATGCACTCGCTGCTCAAGAGTACGGGCGGCGGGAGTCTGTGCTCCTCCCCCGGCCTGGGATGTAGCTGCAGCAAGGGGAAGCAACCCTGCCTGAGCTAGAGTAGTGTACATAGTCATGAACTGCGCCAAAGTCTCCTGGAGTGATGGAGTAGTAGTAGCAGACGTATCAGGTGTCTAGACTCCGGCTGGCACTGCTGGTGGCACCTCAGTGGCAGCTCGCGCGGGTGCTCTGGCTGCACCACGAGCGCGTCCTCAGCCTCTACCCTGGCCCCGGCCTCTGACGGCTCCAGTAGGGGTCGCGGGTGCCTGATCATCTCGGGTAGCACGTGTCCTCACCATCTGTGAGAGAATAGAAGACAAAAGTTTAGAATTGTGATATAAAAAATCTCGCACGACAAGGAAATCAAATGAAGTGGAACTTTCCTAACAGTTACATAGACTCTCGTAGATAAGTACAGACGTCTCCGTACCGATCCGCGAGACTCTAATAAACCGACTTGTGATTCATGACTCCTATGAACCTAGAGCTTTGATACCAAATTGTCACGACCCCGGTTCACCCTCCGTGAACCATCGTGACGGCACCTAGTCTCTACGACTAGGTAAGCCTAACAATGCGGAAAATAAACAACATTTGCGAAAGACATAATTAAAACCCGAAATAGTGAAATAAAATAGTGTTTGAAATGCCGCTCGGCATACACAATATCAACTCTCAAAACTAATAACATTTTCCAAAACCCGAAATCTCATGATCACAAGCTTTTGAATGTCTACAAGTATCTAACTCCAGAATATCTAACAAAGAAAGGAAATACAGAAGGGCTAATACTTAAGGGAAGAGTAGAAAGGGACTCTTCGGTCTGCGGACGCGGCAGATATACCTCGGAGTCTCTACAAGCGCCTCGCCTCAAGCGTGATAAATCTGAGTCGCGGTACCTGGATCTGCACATGAAAAACATGCGCAGGAAGGGCATGAGTACACCACAACGGTACTCAGTAAGTGCCAAGCCTAAACTCGGTCGGGTAGTGACGAGGAAGGTCAGGGCCCTACTGAGATTAAATGAAAAATAATATATAACAGAATAAGATAAGACAGTACAGTTGAAAGCTAACAGTAAGAATTTAATACAGGAAAATAAGGATAACAATATCTGAAACAGAGACAAAAACAATCACAATGAATACCACTCTTCACAAAGATAATAACCGGGGATCTCTTGGTATCCCGAGGATCTCTTAGTATCCTCAATATATGCCAGGGATCTCTTGGTATCCCGAGGATCTCTGGGTATCCTCAATATATGATAGGGATCTCTTGGTATCCCGAGGATCTCTTGGTATCCTCAATATACGTGCTGGGGATCTCTTGGTATCCCGAGGATCTCTTGGTATCCTCAATATACATGTTGGAGATCTCTTGGTATCCCGCACTTCAGTTCAAGTCCAAATACGTACAGGGTCCGGGATGCCGTCCCGTAGTCCGAAAGTAAAACACACAGTAATAACACTAGGAATACTCAATTAAACTCAACTTCATACCAAGGTAAAACAGGTAATTCTAACCTAGCATGTTTCACGTAATACAAATAAGGCAGTTTAAGCAGATAAGCAATTAAGTCAATTAGACATGCTCCTCTAAGCTAGCAGCATGCTTAAATTTCAAGTAAGGTAAGCAGGAAAGGAAAAACACAATTAAAGCTACTTTAGTGAAAACAAGATTTTCAAATTTAAAAAGTACAAGTACGCAGTCGTCACCTCACGTACCAGGCATTTCAGTTATCATAACACCAATCCTAAGGGGAATGTCCCCCACACAAAGTTAGGCAAGCCACTTACCTCGAACCGGCTCAAAATCAATCCGAAACCATGTTCTTGCCACGATTACTCGACTCCAAATGGCCCAAATCTATTCAATTCAATTGTGTAATGTAAATAACACTTCAAGTAACTGATTCTACAAACAAATTCTAAGCTAATACGCGTAATTAGGTAAAATGACCAAAATGCCCCTCGGGCCCACGTCTTGGAATCGGGTAAAATTTACATTTTCAGAATCCTCATACTCCCACGAGTCTATACATATCAAGAACACTGAAATCGGAGTTCAATTGACCCCTTAAGCTCTCATTTAGGGACTAAGTGTCCCAAAACACTCCGAAACTCAAAACCAAACATCCCGGCAAATCAAAATCGCAGAAACAAACACGGGGGAAGCAGTTAACAGGGGATCGGGGCGTAAATTCTAAAAACGACCGGCCGGGTCGTTACAGGACAACTGAAATACTTCTTGGGAGTAGAAATAACTAGAAGCAAGAAGGGAATTTTTCTATCTCAGAGAAAGTATATTCTTGACTTACTAGCAAAAACTGGTAAGCTGGCTGCCAAGCCTTGTAGTACTCCAGTGGTTCCTAATTTGCATCTTATGAAAGATGATGGGGATCCATTTAATGATCCAGATAGATAGAGGAGGTTAGTTGGGAGATTAAACTATCTCGCTATGACTCGTCCAGATATTGCTTTTGCAGTGAGTATGGTTGGCCAGTTCATGTCCGCGCCTACAGTTAAACATTGGGAGGCTTTGGAGCAGATCCTATGTTACTTAAAAGGAGCTCCTGGACTTGGCATATTATACAGCAATCACGGTCATTCTCGCATTGAATGTTTTGCAGATGCAGATTGGGCTGGATCCAAGATTGATAGAAGATCTACTACTGGTTACTGTGTATTTGTTGGTGGAAACTTGGTATCATGGAGAAGTAAGAAACAAAATGTTGTATCTAGGTCCAGTGCAGAATCCGAGTATAGAGCTATGGCACAATCAACATGTGAGATAATGTGGATACATTACCTTTTAACTAAAATTGGGTTGAAGCATCCTACTCCATCAAAACTCTGGTGTGATAATCAAGCTGCACTCCATGTTGCCTCAAATCCAGTGTCATGAAAGAACCAAACATATTGAAGTTGATTGTCATTTTATTCGTGAGAAGATTCAGGAGAACTTGATTTCCACTGGCTACGTGAAGACAGGAGAGCAGCTAGCTGATTTGTTCACTAAAGCATTGAATGGCACTCGAGTTGATTACCTTTGTAACAAGTTGGGCATGATCAATATATATGCTCCAGCTTGAGGGGGAGTGTTACAGAATGAACCTAGACACTTTACACAATGAACATAGACCTGTTTCTTAGTAGTGTACATAACCCATATATAGGTAGCAGATTTGTAGGAATCTCTTTTATTTTCTTTCCTTTGTTATTGTTGTTGTTTCAAAAAAGCTTTAATTATGGTTATCTAGACATGTTGAAAAAATAGTCATTTGTTTAACATAATCTATTTAGTTTTGGTCTAATACTGCTAGGAGCTTTTAGTCTTGTTAGAGAATTATACGTCAGTACGTGAGATGTTAGTGAAACTGATTCTTTTATTATATGTTGGACTGCGACATGCTTTAGTGGAGCAACATGGATGGTGAGGATTTATATATATAACTGATCCCCTTGTTTGGAAATGAAGCGCAATTGTTTACTGTTTTGTTTCAATTATAGCTGCTCATATTTTTGCAGGAAATCGAGAACATGTGCTAGAGGAACAAAAATTCATCCCTTTTGTACATGTACATGATGTGGTTAATGCACATATATTTCTTTTCGAGTGTCCAAATGCAAAAGGAAGATATATTTGTTCTTCTGTAGAAACAACAATACATAAACTCTCCAAATTTCTTTCAGCAAGATACCCTGATTATCAAATACCCATTATTGAGGAGTAAGTCCATTATGTCTTACATCAGTTATTTCTTCTTGAAATCATTAATATTGAAAACACTCTCTCTGCCTTCACAGAGTAGGAGTAAAGTCTGCGTACGTACTGTGGCAATATTTTAAAGCCTTTTGGACATGTCTTAGCCATTCTAGAAGGTTATGTTAAGTGGCAAAAGAAGTGTAAAAAGTGGCAAATTTCATCCGCCACTTTCTTGCCATGCACAACAAAGTTCCATGCAATTACAACTATAAATAGCCACCATTGGTTACACACTTCTCCATCATCAGAAACAAAACGCTTTTCTACTTAGCTTTCTTCTCTTTCTCGCCTAGCTTCTCTTATTTCCAATTTTACTTATAAATTTCTTTGTCCTTATTCTCTTTTCAATCTTGTTGGATTATTGTAATATAAATATTTTGCCGATTCCTGTATCCTCTAAATAAAATAGAGGTAAGCTTGTTTAATCCTGGGGAAATATTTCACACTGCTGAAATAGTTTCTTAGGACAGTGCCCAACACGACTCATGCTAATCCGTGTATTTATTTATATTAATATTGTAGTGTTATTATTGAAATTTTTGCTCTTATTTCCTACAATCTAAGAAACTATGGCAAATAACACTGATGCTGAAAATACTACCGATACCGCCAATATTGGCGCTACGTCCGCTGCTCCAGCCCCAGTTGCACTCCCATATGCCAGGCCATTTCCAGATGTGTCAAATATTGAAATTTTCGCCAATGAAAATTTCAAGCGTTGGCAAGAACGTGTTTTCTCGCTACTTGATGTCCATGGTGTTGCACATGCACTACTGCATCCACAACCGAGTGCATAATAATAAAATAGTGGAATCATGGCAACACGCCAATAAGGTATGCCGTCATACTATATTGCAAACTATTTCTGATGAACTGTTTGACGTGTATTGCAGTTATAAGGAAGCAAAAGCTATCTGGGAAGCCTTAATTAAAAAATTCACTACTGAAGATACTACAAAACAAAAATTTGTAGTAGGAAAATTTTATCAGTGGCAGATGAGAGATGATAAAGAGATGAACGTGCAAATCAACGAATATCAAAAATTGCTAGAAGACTTGAAGGCCGAGGGGATGTCTTTACCAAAAAAGTTTGCTACTGGAGTGCTAATTGAGAAGTTGCCTGACTCATGGAGTGACTACAAAAACAACTTAAAGCACAAACAGAAAAACTTCACTATTGAGGAAATTATAACCCACATCCTAATTGAAGTTCCAACAGAAAAGCATCTGCCAAATCTAGGATGACAGCTCTCAAAGCAAACTTAGTGCAAAGCAACAACAACAACCGCAAAAGGTACGAGAATAAGTCTCAAGATTACAAGCCTAAAAATCCTAACCTTAAAAGAAAAAAAAAGGCTCTTGTTTTGTTTGTGAAAAATCAGGCCATCATGCCTCACATTGCAGGTACAGAGCAGGAAATGACAAAGGAAAAACTAATACTCCTAAGGCTAACTTAGTTGAAGGAGGTGATATTATTGCAGCTGTCATTTCTCAAGTAAACATTGTAGCACATGCAAAAGAATGGGTGGTAGACTCTGGGGCTACTCGGCACATTTGTGCAAATCGAGAAGCATTTTCTTCTTATACTCCTGTAGAGGATGATAGAGAAGAGGTCTACCTTGGAGAATCAAGTACTACCAAAGTCTAGGGTAAGGGTAAAGTTCTGCTAAAACTCACTTCGGGAAAAACTTTAGCCCTTGTTGATGTATTGCATGTTCCTACTATGAGGGAAAACTAGATCTTTGTATCCTTATTGGGAAGAGCCAGAGTGAAAGTGTCATTTGAATCAACTAAGATCATAATGACCAAAAATAATGTGTTTGTGGGAAAGGGATATCGTAACCAAAGACTCTTTTTACTTAATATTTCTGATGTTATCAATGAAAATGCATCTGCTTCTGCTTATATGGTTGAGTCTATTTCTTTATGGCATGCTAGACTAGGACATGTTAATTTCGCATACATAAGGAAAATGTTGTCACTAGGCTTAATATCTGGTTCAGACTCAATCAATATTAATAAGTGTGAAATATGTGCTGAAGCTAAAAGTACTAAAAAGACTTGTTTTTCTGTAAATCAAGAAACTAAATTATTATCTTTGGTTCACATTAAGCGATTTAAAGCAGACTATGACTAGAGGTGGTAAAAGATATTATGTAACTTTTATTGATGATTTTTCTAGATATACTAAGTTATATCTGCTTAGCAATAAAGATGATGCCTTTAATGCTTTTATTTCTTATAAAACTGAGGTTGAAAATCAACTTAGCAGAAAAATCAAGAGAATTAGATCTGATAGAGGTGGAGACTATTTATCTTTAAATGATTTTTGTGAAAAGAATGGAATTGTTCATGAAGTAACTCCGCCTTATTCGCCTGAGTCAAATGGAGTAGCTGAAATTAAAGGAAAAATAGAACATTGAAAGAAATGATGAACTCTATGTTAGTTAGTTCTAATGCTCCTGATAATTTGTGGGATGAAACTATTTTATCTGCATGTCATTTACAAAATAGAATACCACATAGAAGAACTGGCAAAACTCCTTATGAATTGTGGAGGGGTTATAAACCTAACTTGAAATATTTAAAAGTGCGGGGGTGCCTTGCTGAAGTTTTTTTGCCTGAACCTAAAAGAGAAAAATAGGTTCTAAAACTGCTGATTGCATACTTATTGGATATGCTGAACATAGTGCTGCATATAGATTTCTTGTTTTAAAAAGTGATGTGTTTGATTGCAATACTATAATTGAAAAAAAAAATGTTGAGTTCTTTGAATATATTTATCCATTGTCTAATAAAATTTCTCATACACTTGTTGAAACAAATAGTGAAATTATCTCTAGTGAGGAACTGAGAAGGATCAAAAGGCCTAGGAAAGAATATTTTTCTTATGGAAATGATTTTCAAATTTTTCTTGTCATTAATGAACCATCAAATTATTTTGAAGCTATATCTTCTTCAGATGCTAAATATTGGAAAGAGGCAATAAAAGTTGAAATCGATTCTATTTTGAAAAATAATACATGAATTTTAACTGATTTGCCTCCTGGTGCAAAGCCTATTGGTTGTAAATGGATTTTCAAAAGGAAATTTAATGCTAATGGATCTTTAGATAAATATAAAGCTCGGTTAGTAGCAAAAGAATTTTCTCAAAAACAAAATATAGATTATTTTGATATATTTGCACCTATGACTAAAATTTCTTCTATTCGCATTTTAATTGTCTTAGCTTCAATTCGTAAGCTTTTTATCCACCAAATGGATGTCAAAACTGCTTTTGTAAATGGTGATTTGGAAGAAGAAATTTATATGGTTCAACCTGAAGGCTGTGTCATTTTTGGACAAGAAAATAAAGTTTGTAAATTAATTAAATCTCTTTATGGCCTTAAACAAGCTCCTAACCAGTGGTATGAGAAATTTGAGCAAGTCTTACTAAGAGACTATTTTTCTTCAATTGAGGTGGATAAATGTATTTATACAAAAGTGGTAGACAATGATTATGTGATAATATGTCTATATGTTGATGACATGCTTATATTTGGTACAAATTTAAATATTGTACAAAGTACAAAATTATTTTGTCTGCTAATTTTGATATCAAAGATCTGGGTGAAGTAAATACAATATTGGAAGTCAATGATTATGTGATAGTATGTCTATATGTTGATGACATGCTTATATTTGGTATAAATTTAAATATTGTACAAAGTAATAATGTTATCACAAGAACATTATGTTGAGATACTTCTTAAGAAGTTTGAATATTTTAATGTCACATCTGTGAGCACTCCTTTTGATGCTAACTCTCAGTTGAAAAAGAATAATGGTGACCCAGTTGCTCAGTCTAAATATGCGCAGATTATTGGGAGTCTGGTGCATTTAATAAATTTTACAAGGCCTGATATAGCCTATGTTATGTGTAGACTGAGTAGATATACTCATAATCCCAACAGAGAGCATTGCTCTGCATTAGATAGACTAATGAAATATTTGAGAGGGACCATGAATTATGGTATCCTATATAGTGGGTTTCCTTCTACTTTAGAAAGGTACAATGATGCAAACTGGATCTCTGATTCAGATGAGATAAAATCCACTAGTGGTTATGTATTCACCCTTGGTGGTGGTGCAATATCGTG